ACTTGCAACCTGCTTTCTAGAAATTTTAGGTATGAGCCTCTTATCAGATGTGTTGTTTTCTTTTCACTCTTCTGAAAAGAATTTTTGATGCACATAAGGATATGCTTTTGCTTATTTGATCTCATTCAATCACTCATACAGTTCATTTTATAACATTAATTATAATTTCATACTGCCATTATATATATCTTATTGAAACCTCGCTGTCCTTTCTCATTCCCTGCACCCAACCTATCTATTTGATAATCTCTTCTCCCTCATCTTTCCCTCCTATCCTTGCTGTCAACCCCCTCATAATTGTTTCTACCTGTGGCTAATCTTTTCCTTTCTTTTATTTTCTTCTGTCCCCATCCAGTTAGTTGTGCATGTCTTGTTTTAGATTGCTAATTGAAAAACATACCATGTCTGATTATCCATCCATCCATTCACTTCAGGTTGGTCTTCCCTTTACTTATTCCATTATAGTGTTAATTGTCTACCCATTCTTTTCCTGCTCCAACCCCACCCCCAGTGATCCTATTTCTATAACCGTGGTCTGACATAAGACTTGAAGTTTTGTGACTGACTTATTTCACTGAAGCATAAATGTCCTCTAGACCCATCCATCTTGTGTAGTTTCACAAATTCTTTATTATTTTTCACTGCTGCATAGTATTCTACTCTGTGTTTTTACCACAATTTGTCAATTTGTTTGTTCTTGGACATTTAAGCTGCTTCCATCTCCTTGCTATTGTGGATAATACTGCAGTAAATATATGTAGGCATGTACCTGTTTGTGCCATATCTCTGATTTCTTTTGGGTATATTCAAAGTTGTGGAATAACTGAATCAAACAGTATTTCTGTTTGAAACTCTTTGAGTAAGTAACAGTCTGCCTTCCATAATGGCTTTATCATTCATTGTACTTTCCCACAAGAAGTGTATGAGAGTTCCAACCTCTCTACATCTTTGTCAACACTTGTTGTTTATTGTCCTATTAATTTTTTTTATTGTTGCTGGGGTGAGATGATATCTCGTTGTTTTTATTTTAATTTCTCTAGTAGTGTGTGATATTGAGCATTTCTACTTGTATTTGTTGACCATCTGAATATCATCTTTGATAAAGAATCTTCTCATATCTTCTGCTCATATTGTGTTTTCATTGTTTGTCTTTATCTTGTTGAGCTGTTGGAGTATTCTATAAATTTTAGATATAAATCCCTTATCAGATATGTCATTATCAAATGTTATTTCCCAGACTGTGGGTTTTCTTTTCATTCTATTTGAGGAGTTTGGGGAATTTTTTTAAGTGATGCTTTTCCTTGCTTTAATGTTTTATTTTCTTCTTTTGAAATGCGCTCTTGACAAAATAGTATAGTGCTTTTTTTCAAAAGCAAGTGTAGAAAATGCTAGTGATTGGCACAGCATGGGGAAGCCCACAAGAAAGGATAGATAGCAGCAGCAGGTGGCAAGAGGTAGGAAATGATTGAAGCATTGGTTACAAATGTTCACAGGAAGCTACAAATATCCAGCAAGCTGCATTCTTATGTTAGTACAGGTGGTGATCCCATTATGTTTAGTTGAAATTCAACATCAAGACAATTTCTTCAAGTTAAACAGTTTTTTGTTGCACCCTTGCACAGGATGGCTCAAAGACATTGGAGCAGTCCATTAGTTCTTCAAAATGCTGTCATAACAGCAAACAATAAATGTTGGAGAGGATGAGGAGAGATAGGAACTCTCAGACACTGTTGGTGGGATTGTAAAATGAAATAGCCACTCTGGAAGACAGTTTGTGGTTCCTCAAAAACTGAACATAGAAATTCTATATAACCCACTACTAGGAATATACTCTGAGGAAACTAGAACTGAGATGCAAACAGAGATTGGCACACCAATGTTTATAGCAGCATTATACACAATCATAAGAATATGGAAACAGCCCAAATATCTGACTACAAATGAATGGATTGAAGAAATTGTGATACATTTGAACAATGATTCCATTATGTAGCACTCAGGAGCTACAACTTAAAAAATTACTACATGACTTGGGAGAGACTGGAAAGCACTATTCTGAGCTGAGTGAGCTGAGTCTCATAAGGCAAATACTGCTTAAGTCCATTATTGTAGAAGTAGAAAGATAACCAGTACAATGTATATGAGGATCCAAGGGAGAGAGAGGGGGAACAGAGGGATGAGGATGGGCAGGAGGAAATCATAGGGTTGTACGATTTAGTGGGTGAAGGGGTGGAGTAAAGGAAATGGGAAAAATCTGATGGGGATCTGGAAAGACAGAGTAATGGTGGACATAGTTCAAGGGTGATTAATTTTATAAAACATAATAAATGAGAATGGTTGTATGAAACACAATGTGAATGAAGGCTAGTGTGAAGCAAAATATAAATTAACTTTGTAAGCAAACCAATATAAAATAAAAATTTTTAAAAATAAAGAGGTTTATTACAGCAGGGGACAAAAGACAAAACAAAATGCTGTCATAAACCTGGTAGGTGTACTAAGAAACCTTCTGGTGCTCTTCAATGACAGCATATAATTAGGGTTTCCTGGATGGATACATAATTCAGCCAAAATCCAAATGCCATTAGTGAGCTTCAGGGATTGTACAGTATGTCCTGTCCTTCCACGTTCCTTATAGCAACAGTATAAACATTGTTTTTTGCAGTTTACTGGAAACAGTGTCAGCATTTATATGACATTCCTTAAGCTGAAATTGCAGTTCATTTTCATTGGGAATGTCTTTCCATATTGCAAGAAAGACCTGGCAATTCATTTTGCCATCTTCTGCAAAAAAGCACCTTAAGAGGGAACAGGCAGCTGAAGTAGAAGAAATAAATTTTGTTCTTCACAGCTATCTACAGGTTATTGATGCCTTCCATCTTCATGACTGGTCCTAACGTGTTAAGAGGCAGGGAGAAATCAATACTCTGCTGTGGCATTAGTGGTGTATGGATTGCCAGAAGAGTACTGGGGATGACACCAAAGCTATTCTTGTTAAACTGAATGGCGAAGTCTGACACATGCTACAGAGCTTTGTTGGTGAAGTTCATTTCCATGTAGACATTCTCTTAGAAGTATGGGAATGCTCCTGAAATCTCCAAGCCTTTAGCCTTTCCTGTAGGCAACCAGACAACCTTAGAAGCCACAGGTCCATCAGATGCCATTCCTAATCCAAGTGTTGTTATTGTTATGTGCCATCGAGTCTCTTGAAATTCATAGCAACCCTATGTCAGAGCAGACCTAAGCCCTGTTCTGTCCTGTGCCAATCTCCCTGTCTCAAACACCCCCACCCCGATTACCCCAGTCACTGAATCAATCCACCTCATAGAGGGTCTTCTTCTCCTGCACTGTCCCTTCACTCTCCCAAGCATGACGTCCCTCTCCAAGGATTGGTCCCTCCTTGCAACATGTCCAAAGTATGTCAGACAAAGCCTCAGAATCCTTGCCTTCAAGGAGAAGCTTAGTCCAGTAGAGAGTTGAAAAAAAGTCATTCAGACCACTGCTAACCACAGCAGGAGTAGGTGAAGGAGCAAAGGTTGCAGGCAGTGAGGGTGGGAGATGGACTGCTCAAGCTGACTAGATAGTCCTCCACCCAAGCGATCCACTGCTCTCATCTGCTTGGAAGATACCTGTGACACATTGACTGGGAGACCAAGGCCAAGGTTCAAAAAGTATCTTAGAAGGTCCCTTTGAGAGGAAATAATTTGAGGTTTTTCCAGGTTGTCTGAAGTGGTGGTGTTAACCAGGCTGTCACCTGAATCAGTGCTTCCATGAATTGGCTAGTTTTTACAATGGATTCCATGATTTCTTTCTAAAAAACCACTGAGACAAATGACAAAGAATCAATGTGGCAGATGAGTTCATCTGACAGAGTTGGCTCAAAACAGTCTGTTTCCTCAGAGCTCAGTGGGTTTTTAGACAAAACTACTTCTTCAACTGTTACAGTGTCCATTGAAAGAAGCTGCCAATAAATACAGCCCCGGTCTCGAAGATCAGGGTTATCAGAATATTGAGTTGCCAAACTCATGACTTGTTGGACCAGCTCATGTGTTTCTGATGGCTTCTTAAGAAAGCTTCACTATGGCAGTAAGTAAAGTGAGCTGCACCTGGGTGCTTTCATCATGAAGACCTTCCAGGAAACTATCTAGTAACTCACATGCATTGTCCATTCTTTCGTCATATTTTACCACAATCCAAATCATAGCTGCTAAAGCATCTGGTTCATCTAGTGAGTCTAAGTAAGTTCTCAAACAGCGTAACAGTACTTTCATACTTATTGGGATACTTTTTTTTTGAGACCTGCTTGATTTATTCTGATTACTTATTATACAACAATGCCAGTGTGACCCCAAAGTGTGCAAAGTTAAAGCCTTCAACTGCAGCTGAAGAGAGGGCAGGAATGGTACACAGAGAACAGAGGGTAGGAATGAGGGCCAGGGCCACCTCCCCCGCAGAGCCAGGCTGGGAGCAAGGCCTGAGGGTCACCTGGGGCCAGGGAAAGGGGACAGAGACCTCCCCCTGGCCTAGTGGGTCAGAAGCCCAGAACTGCCACATGGCTGCAGGGACAGCAGCCCAGGACGGGCCAGAGGTGGGGCCAGGAGAGCACCATTTCCTGGGGGTGGGGGTGGGCGCCCTAAAGGAGAAGCCGGGGCACACCAACCCGGGCCACGCTGGCCAGAGCAGGCTGCGGCAAGAAAGACCTGAGGCAGGCACATGGCCTGAGAGTCTGGGCGGCTAGGCTGGGCAGATGGGCAGGGGGACCCTACCCACTCCAGGGGCACCCAGCACAGTCACCCAGGAGTTTTCCTGACTGTGGAGTGCCCAGGGAGCGCTGCTGGCCCCAGGGGTGAAGGGGCCACCCTGTCCCTGCCTCTCTCCCTCGACAGGAGTTGGGGAACCTGTAGTGCAAATCTGAGGGCCACTCAGTTACGGAGGGGCGATGGACCTGAAGGGGGGCTGGGGGTGCACCCCCTCCACCACCTTTGCCTCCGGTGCAGTCCTCAGTACAGCCGCTTCTCCTAAGAGTGCAAGCCATGGACGCCACCCTCGATCTGGGCCGACATGGTCCGCTTCTCAAACTTGAGCTCTCCTGAGTACATCATGGGCACAGACAGGCTCTGGGCCCCGATGTCCTGGCACCTGTGCTGGATTCCTGCGATGAGGTAGGGTACGAACTTCTGGATAGAGCCTTTGTCCTGGATTGAGCCGGAGACACCCTGCGCAATCTTCACCTTGTCCCCCTCACTGAAGTATCGCTTCTGGCTGCTGCTGTTCTCCATGGCGTTCAGCGAGCCCATGCCCTGGTACTTCTTGAGCCGCACTCCATCCGAAAAGAAGTATTCGCCTGGGGCCTCTATGGTGGCGGCCAGCAGGGACCCCATCATCACTGTAGAGGCTCCGAGGGCCAGGGCCTTGACCACGTGGCCCACGGTCTGGATGCCACCATCGGCTATGATAGGCACACCAAAGCGCCGGGCATACTCAGCCACTCTGTACACGGCAGTGCCCTGGGGCCGGCCACAGCCCATCACTTCTTGGGTGATGCAGATGGAACCACAGCCCATGCCCACACGCAGCCCGTCCACGCCTGCGTCAGTCAGGTTCTTGGCCTGAGCTGCTGTCACCACATTGCCCCCAATCACCTGGAGGTGGGGGTACTTCTGCTTGATGTAGTGCACCATGGCGATCTGATACACTGAGTTCCCTTGGGAGGAGTCCAGCACGATGACGTCGGCGCCCGCCTGGATGAGCCGGTCCAGGCGGTATTTGTCGTCCTCACGGGTGTCCACGGCTGCCCCGCACAGCAGCTGCTTGTGGGAATCCTTGGAAGCCAGGGGGTAGTCTCGGTTCTTCTTCAGGTCAGTGCGGGCGATGATGGCCACCAACTCGTCATGGTCATTGACAATGGGCAGCTTTCCTTTATTGCTGCGCTGCAGAATCTCATTTGCCTCTTTCAACGTCACCCCTGCCGGAGCCACCACCAGTTCATTCCGCGGCGTGATCACTTCATTGAGGAGTGTGGTGTGGTCCTTCTCGGCCAGGAAGTCGATGTCCCGGGAGGTGACGATGCCCACCAGCTTGCTGCCCATTGTGCCTGTCTCAGTGATGGGGATACCAGAGAAGCCGTGCCGGATCTTGGCCTCCAGCACATCGCCCACAGTGTTTGTGGGACTCAGCACTACAGGGTCTGTGATAAAACCCTGCTCGAACTTCT